GCCTCTTCCCATCTTCATCTAGTAAACAGAGACTGTTCTGTCTCTCCGTATTGTCAAAACAGACAAGAGCTGAGGCTTTTGAAACCATGGACAGAAATAAGAAAACTCCTTGAGTTGATACTCCAAACTACAATAGCATTGTTTTGAAAGTGTGCAATGCGAGAGCTCCTTTATCTATGAGCGAGGTACTAAAGATTCAAAAAGGACTGTTTTAGTACAGAATCAGAAGCCTCGACTGCCTGTAAAACTCAGCCGCATCTGTATTGTAAAATTCAGCCACATCTACACACGATAATACCGCTACTAGTACTGCTGCAATTACAATTGCAACAGGAATAGGGACAACATGTATTCCACGACTATCAGCACTACTATCAACAACAACAACAATGCCAATATAACAATACTATCAGAAATAGAAATAGAAAAATAAATAATGTTAATAACAGAGTAATCACAACAATAGCACAATAACAATCAAATCTTGGCATCTATGAGGAATGCGGGGACAAGGAGCGTTAGTGAGTTTTACAATCGCTGCCGACGTTTTCGCATCCGAGTTCTGCCAGGCTCGAATTTCTTAAAATTCCTGAAGCCTGAAATGCGAAAACATCGGCAGGGATCGAATTTCCACAAGATTCCTAAACTCCTGGCATCTATGAGGAGTGCCGGGGCAAGAAGTTTTGGGGAAATTCGAGCCTGCCGATGTTTTCGCATCCGAGGTATCGAATTTCACCAAGATTCCTAAACTCCTGGCATCTATGAGGAGTGCCGGGGCAAGAAATTTGGGGAAATTCGAGCCTGCCAATGTTTTCGCATAATTCCTGAAGCCTGAAATGCGAAAACGTCGGCGGGGATCGAATTTCACCAGAATTCCTAAACTCCTGGCATCCATGAGGAGTGCCGGGGCAAGAATTTTTGGGAAATTCGAGCCTGCCGATGTTGTCGCATCCGAGGCTGCTAAAGTGCTGCCAGGCTCGAATTTCCCCAAACTTCCTGAAGCCTGACATGCGAAAACATCGGCAGGGATTGAATTTCAGAACAGAGTCACGAACATCTATCACGTAACTAATGCTGAATTAGCTAGTACGTGCACTAGTACAACTGAGATAGATAACCTTTTCAGCAGTTAATGCATTTGTAGATGGAGCGACGGTTCACTTCATGCATGAAACGGTAAAAAGCAATGCGAGTCTGCGAACCAAGGGTTCCGTAGTCATTCGTTATTTATCTTGCCATAGACATAACCTTTGTAATGCGTTTCGAACATCACTTACATAGTAGTGACATGTTCATGAGATGAATTAAACGTGTACCAAACATCTAATCAAACCGTTTGATTTGAGTTAAGTGTTTAGGCTAACACTCAGCGAGATTGCATTAGCATCTCAGCATGTTCTTGTGAGCGAACATGCTGAAGATTATAGCAATGACGTGTATTTTAAAATCACGTTTTAATTTCAAGGCTAATTGGAAGGTTCTCTTTTCTGTAGAATAGGAATTAGACACACGCATATTAAATTACTGAAAAATACGTGCATAAGGCTCTGCAGCTGCTGTGTATTCGTGAAGCGCAGCCTAACGAAACTATGTAACATGTAAAATGCTAAGCACATGTCAGTCCAATATGGAATTTGCATTTAAGGGCAAACTTGTATATGAACGCACACATCATTGAGACACCAAAGTAGTAATCGACAAATTAGATGTTCGATGCTCAAGACATTTCATTGAGGTTCTGATTGTGCCATGAAGCTTAAACTACGCATTGATGAAACATGATTGAACAAATCGCTGAAATGTCCGCTATAGCAATCAAAAAATTTGAGGCGAATACTGAAATGCTTTCCCTTGTGCTTTTCAACCTGCAACAAGCTGGTATATGACGAAAGAACGTGCATGCTTATGCTTGCAGAGCGCTGGATAATGAACGATGCTGGTGTTTACAAGGCATGTAAAGAACCTTCCAAGAGACAACGAGGGAATTGCTTTTCCGTCGCACAAATACAGTCGGATAGTGTGCAATTAATTTGATTTCAGTAAGCATGTATACTTATGTTTATGTACATTTGCCTTCTGTCAGATGCCAAAATGAGCCTATTTGTCGAGACAGTCCACAAAAAGCAGAAACACAAACAGCCATAAGCCAAGAAAGGAGCAGTATTCCTCGAGACAGTCCCAAAAAACAAAAGAGCAAAGATTCAGAGCTATTCCAAACCCCAGGTCTCGAGACGTCCCACAACAATGCCAATTGGAAAGCCAAAGCGAGCACATGTCTCGAGACAGCCCAACAAATCCAACAATACCAATACCCATAAGCCAAGAAATGAGCATATCTCTCGAGACAGTCCCCAAGAAACCAAAAGCTAATGATTCAGAGCTATTCCAAAGGCCATTTCTCGAGACAGGCCCAAAGCCAAATGCAAAGCCTTGCGGAATAGCTTGGAATCATTGATTTTGTTGATTTTTTGGGGACTGTCTCGAGGAGTACGCTGATATTTTGGCTCATGGGTTCTGGTATTTCTGTTTGTTGTGGGACTGTCTCGACATTCAGATCTCTCAGAGGTTCCGGAATCTTTGTTTGTTGGTTCTTTCGGGACTGTCTCGAGGAATATGCGAATGTTTTGGCCTATGCTTTTCTCGTTGTTTTCTTGGGGTTGTCTCGAGAAATATGCACATTTCAGATTCCTCCGAAGTTCCGGAATCTTTGTTTCTTTTGGCACTGTCTTTGACGAATATGCTCATGTTTTATTTAAGTGTAGGTTTTAGTGTTTTGAGACTGTCTCGAGCACGCGGTGTTTCGTCTTGTTTGAATGATGGTGCGCAGATACAAGTATGTAAAAACGTAAACTCGTATGACACGGGCGGTGTGCAAAGTGGGACTATAGGGGGGGGGGGGGGGGGGGG